CTTTGCAATCCCTGATACTGCAGCTGTATCAGATATTGAGATACACATTGGGGACAGGTGCATTCATTGAAAATTTCATCGCCATATCAAAACAATCCTCTTTTTCTTCCTCTCTCATTCAGTTCTGGCACCCCCCTATATTTCCCTTACTGTATGAGGCAAGGGCACTTAAAAGTGATGTGGGTGATTGCATTTTATCAACAACCATTGAAGCCTGCAAGTCTCTCATTATTTCCTCATTTCCCGGTATTTCATATTGTCGTAGAAAGTTAAAATTTACAGTATTATAGAAAGTTAGAATTTACAATTTTCGTACTTTGATAAGCTGCGTTTCACAGCACGCTTCCTAAACCCAGCAGCAGCTGGCAACTTCTCCAGTTTTCTTGACTGATGCTGCACTGCCTGATAGAATCAGCTTCCCAGCGATTCTTAACCCTCCTTTGGTCTCCTAAATATTTAACGGGTTCTCTCGACTGAAGCATTTTGCAAGAATTTGGCTGTTTTGTGAGGTGTGTGTGTGTGGGTGTGTATGTGTGTGTGGGTGTGTATGTGTGTGGGCGTGCACGTGTATGGCCGTGTATGTGTGTGGATGTGTATGTGTGTGAGTGTGTGTGTATGGGTTTGTATGTGTGTGTGTGTGTGTGTGTGAGTGTGTGTACATGTGCGTGGGTGTGTGTGTACATGTGTGTGTGAGTGTGTGTACATGTGTGTGTTTGTGTATGTGTGTGTGCGTGTGTGTGTGCACCATTTGGATCCGAAAGTTGTCATTCATAAACATTTGGAAACAATTTTCAAAACGCCTTCAAAATGAATGCTGACAAGCAGGAATCTACTGAAGCCGTCTTTTGGGTAGTTTTGCAGTATCCAGAGATTTAGCTGATTTTTATGTGACGTTTAGAATCCGAGAATTTAGCTGGATCATTTAAAGTTATTCTTGAGGTCAGAATTTTTCGCTATACTGATAATCATTGAATTGATGTTTTTAGAATAAAATCCGTCAGTTTATTCCTCGATGATCCTGCTTCCATGCTTTATACCGAAATTACTACTACCGCTACTGCTACTGATGCCAGTGGCGATTTTCGCCCGAAGTATCAAAATATTGCAAATCACGGATATTCATCTGGATCTTAACTATAGCACAAAAGGCGATCGGCAAGCAATGTGCCATTTGAATGAGCAAGTGTCCGAACAGCTCGGACAGTTTGGTGATTATA